AAAATTTGCCGCCGACTTATTCCACCATCTGCTTGACCAACTATCTTTCCTCTAATAAAATCTGACAATTCGAGAAAACCTTGAGTTCTAGTCATGTTGTAGCACAAGATAATTAGTGTGCGGACCAATTACATTTATATAGTGCTCTGTAAACACAAATTAGTTAGCATAAATTCGTTAAATGACGAAACATTATGTGTCTATTTACTTGTGACCACTCAGTGTATATATATAGTTGGAAGAATTTAAAAAAACAAAAAACTTGCTTATGTAGATAGAAAGCGCCGTCGTTTTGTGCAAGATGCGTGTCGATCGGTACGCAACGACTGAGATATCTGCGTGACAGACGGACAGACAGACGGCTTTTAGTCTTTATATAGTAGATAAGGATCAACATTACTAATTTATGAATGATATGTTTGAATTCATCTGTAGCCTGACATGTCTAACTAAGTTTAAAAATGTAGCTCCATAAAGCTTCAATCCAACAGATTTTCGGTTACAGTACAACTTATTTATAATCAGGCTCTATGTAATTTAACTATGTAAATAATTTATCGGAATCTACAATCTTGCCTTAAACTTAAGACAAACAAAAGAGAAACTCTGTAAAAATTAAAACATCAATATCTTTTATGAGGTGGGTGAGGGACATGGAAAAGTGAAGATAATATTAAGTACTAGCAGATGTGCGTTGAAACAATTCAATGGCGATGACAGATCGATGTTAATATTGATATGAAGTTTTAGGAATCGTAAACAATAAATAATTTTCCTGTAACGTATTCTTGAAAAGAAGCATTTGAATATATATATATATATGTTCTACAATTAATCGCTTAGGACATACAGAGTGTGACAGACAGATAACTGGCTATTATATATACATATATATATACATTTGGGAAGACTATATCACTGGGTATACTAGTTAGAAAACAATTTAAATGTACTGTGTTGCTTGTATGTGTGTGTCAAAACCTTGAGAAGGGTGAGTTATCTCGAAACGTCAGTAAGCAGTTTCACAAATACATGTCACAGTCGGTTTGTCCTAGGTATAGTTTATATTTACATGTTGTTCTTTCTCACGTGGAGCCATTTATTATCTATGGTTGTATTTGTCTTGTCTGCTTGACGCTCTTTTATATTTGTATTTCATACTATGTACATATCTATGACTTTTTTTCAGTAATGTGTTTCAATTCCGTTAAATATTTATTTGCACAAAAATAATATAATGGGTGCCTTAAGTGCAAACAAACTCGTTATCCTGTTTTAACAGAAACACGACCTAATATATACATATAAAGAGAGAAAATAGTTTAAAATTTAAATATTCAGACCGTTAGATATATCAAAACATTTATAATGTTTTAATAACGTTTAATTTTGTCGTTTATTGTATTCAATTATAACTTTTTTTTTACTGAAAAACTAATTTGTGATAAAATAGAAATTTTAGGTTAAATTGTTCTCTAACTCTCTTTTTAACTTCAAGCTTTGGATTTTTTGAGTTTCAACCATCTTGAATGGCTTGTTCAGCGTTATTTTCTGAATAAGGTGCTACGACCACAAAAAATTCAAAACTGGATATGTATGCTTACTATAAAAGCGATAAAATTTATTTATCAAGAATGCAATTACTGATAATCCTGTACATACAGATTATATTCACTTTTTTTCAAAAGAATCTGAGTATCGCTCAGGCTTTTCTGAGGTTTCATGTGCTAACAAAAAATTGCAAAAGAGTTTTGTGACTATTGTTTGCCTTCTAAAGTATCTCACAATATACTAACAGGTTATCGTCTTTCAGTCCTTCATGAATGTTATCATAATTATGAAAAAAAAAGGTGTGACCAAAAAAGTATTTTTGCTTGGCCATTAAAAATTACCGGTGATTCGTTTTTAAAGTTTTTTTATTTGCCAAAAATAAGAAATAAAAAATTAACTTTCTAAAATTATAATATAGTGTTTAATTAGTGTTAGGGGAACTTTCAGTTGATAAGCATTATGAGAAAATAACAATACTTTCATCAGTTGATGGTGAAGATTTTATATGCATGTTATTTAAAAATTGTATTCGTATATGTATTAAACCTGCAAGGAATTGAGCTCATCTAACTATTATTTCAGGCCTGTTGTTAACTGTCAGGACTAAAATATAATAAAGGTGATTTTAGCCTAATTTGTTTACCATTTACATGCAGTTAGACTAAGCTAAAATCGATACCCGAGACTTTAATTAAAAAAACAAGCTTTTTAAAGTAGAAATGTAAATATAAGTTCTAACATGGGAGAAAACAACTGTTTTAGTGTTTTTGCATGCAATGATATACTCCATATTTTTTTTAATTTAGTTTCTTTAGGATCATTTGTTACAGTTGTTGAAAATAAGTTCGAATATGAGTTATTATCTTATATATATATATATATATATATATATTTATATACGTGTTTTTACTTATGAAGATCATTTCGCATGATTAGCTTAGTAGGAATTTAGTACTAATCAAATTCTCCCCAACTGGTTGAACTTCATGAGTATTATTGGGTTTATGGCTATAAATAACTGTTGTAGCGAGACTGTCTAAGTGATGAATCCAGGCATTCTATTCACTATTGCATTTAATATGTGTTGATTTATGGCACTATGTACTTCTTGAAATCAGTTTAGTGTATAGAATAAGCTTTATCAATCTAAGTTACGTTTTAATTCCGTTCCAAACTGTTGGTTTATTTTTTATCAGAAGTTATTAATAGAATCAAAACATTCCGCTAGCAACAGTTTTCTCTAACAACTCATTACAATTCAAAGAAATATTTGTTATTCTGTTGTCATTGAAACACAACGTATAAAAACACCATCTTTCAATCAAGACAAAACATTCAGTGATGTGTTACAATCCAATGTAACGTTGGATGTATATACTAACATCGTTATTTTGATAAAATAGGAGGCGTGGTTTGTTTGTTTCTATGTTTTATCGTAAAGCTACACAATAGGCTATTTGCCTTCTGTCCACTAAGGAGTCGAATCCCGGACTTTAGCGTTGTAAGTACGTAAACTTACCTCTGATCTACTGGAGGACAACAGGCATGATATTGAATATTGTTATATTAATTCATATCTTGAAATCATAAGTTGTCATTTTTTTCTTTTTGTGCTAAGTGTTGCAGTCCATTATAGTTGTGTTCTATTTTTATTAATAATTAATTTTGTATATAAGCACCAACCAAAGCGATACGATAACGTTTTATGTAAGCATAAACATTGTAGTATCACTTTAGTTTTGACAACATTAGCTAAAGTGACGAATAACAACATATTTATTGGACGTTTCGGAATATACGCATTCCATTATCAGCAAAGTACGATAATATACACAAAAAGTACAATTACAATTAATCATTCGAATTGTAAACAAAAGCTTATAAAAACTGCAATATATTACTAATTTTTCAGGATTTAATTAATTATCTTTTAAAATTGGGTTAATGAAGAAGTATTATATTGTAATTTATTATTCTAAAAATCATTACTACGTGCATATATTTAATTTTAAAATTCATTGCACTTTATTCGACCATCTTCCTCTAACAGTCTGTTTTAACGTTACTTTGAATTAAATCACTAATATTTACTAACCTTTTATGTTCTGAAAGCATCTATATATTTTCTAATAGGTTAAAATATACGAGTAATTTTTGTATTGTATTTATTATGAGATGTAACATATAAATTTTATATGAAATTGGTTTTCGAAAAGTCATAATGCATGAGAAGCAAAAATACAAAATATATAAAATATTCAATTTCTTACCTATATGACGGATAAAAAAATTATTTTTTACAATTTTATATATGCTAAAGTGAGAAATGTAAAACGAAAATATAATGTGTAAGTTGTAAGTGAAATAAGATTCTTACCTGTCATACTATATATCATTATTGTTCTGATAAATGTTTTTTTCTCATTCTAGGCTTACATTGCATGTTCTTGGGGTATTCACAGAATTGGTTTTGTCCTCATCTGTTTCGGTGTTGTAAATGCTGTTTTCTCTTTGCTCTCGGGGCCTTTAGTAAAAATATTCACCCGACTTCCGATTTTCATCACGGGCACTTTGGCTAACTTAGGTGTTACCATCACTCTTCTCTACTGGCAACCTAATCCTGATCAAACCGTCGTTTTGTTAGTGTTAGCTGGTGTTTGGGGCTTGGGTGATGCAATCTGGCAGACTCAAATTAATGGTAAGATTCAAAACTTAAAACTCGTGTTTAAATAAAGAAAAATTGGAGATAATTTTTTATCGTTTAAACAAAGATGTCAAATATTATATTTCTTTCCTATGTTTATTTTCAATAATCTTATTATAAACTGATACGTGTAGAAAAGGATATAAAATTTATTAAAATCATAAATAATATTCAACGTTAAACTGGTA